CACACATTCACACGCTGGTGGGGATGAGCCACAGCGTAGCCTCCTGAGCTACTGCTGTCCCATTAGAAGTAGGTAAAATTATTTAAATGCATTTTAATTTTAGCATTTCTCATTCATTTTGTGTAGAAACTTGTCCAATTTTGTTACTGCTGCGACGGTGGAACAGGAGTTAAGTGCTCGCCCCGTAATCGGAAGGTTGCAGCTTCGAGCCCCGCTCAGTCTGTCGCTGTCGTTGTGTCCTTGGGCAAGACACTTAACCCACGTTGCCTGCTGGTGATGGTCGGAGGGACTGGTGGCGCCAGTGCTCGGCAGCCTCGCCTCTGTCAGTGTGCCCCAGGGCAGCTGTGGCTACATTGTAGCTCATCCCCACCAGTGTGTGAATGTGTATGAATGTGTGTGTGAATGGGTGAATGACTGGTTGTGTTGTAACGTGCCTTGGGGGGTTCCAAGAACTCTAGAAGGCGCTATATAAAATACAGGCCATTTACCATTTAAAAATATCACATTTAGCAACAATAGACTTTTATATCAAACAGCTGTTTATCATTGGAGATGAAGCTTTTTGTTTGGAGGGAGTAAAAAGGGATGCTCAGCCCAAGGAGCGAGCCTAACTAACTTTAGTTAGGGGCCCGTGTTTAAGGGGCCCCTTGCATCTCTTTCATGTTGTAATCATGTCATTCTGGTAACCTTTTGGCTTAATTTATCTGTCACCCACTAATTCTGTTTCCGAAAAGGAAATCTCATGGAAGCTATGCTGGATTTTTGTTCGTGACAGCATCTCACCTCAGGTTTAATGTGAAACAGATGTGATGGATGATGACTTTTTTTCTCTTTTCTTCCTCTAAACTCTTTCATTTGTTGCCAACGGATGCTGACCCCGGGCATCGCAGCTGCCCCCCTGGGGTCCCCGTCGGCCGTGCCCACCGCCTCCTTCAGTCGGCTTCGGGGACGCTCACCTCCAGCATTTAACGCGGTGATTAATCACACATAGCGGCGGCCGTGCTGTGCTGAACACGGCCAGTCACCTCCATTAAAGTGTGGGAGCTCCGGCGGACACAGAGGGAACTTTGTGAAGGGAAACACAGGTCATTGTCTGCCTGTGACGCCCGGCCTGGTCGGGAGACACAAAGGTGGACTTGTGCGGTTGTTTTGACAACCTCGGACAGGCTTCCGAAAACCACATGTGGGCCACATTTCCTCCGTCATGATTTAGTTAGCAGGATCACACTGGATTAGAATAACAGAACTTTTTCTTTTCATTTGGCTCTTATTTGACTCATTAAAAGAAACACTAAATAGTTTTTTTACACTTTAAGCTGGAGCTTTAACATTGATCTCAGTGATTGTTGAGTTAGAAACTTGACCAGTTTCATATATGACACCACTCTGCAGCCCTTTCCTGGCCAGATACTGCACTTAATAGTTTTGTGTGGCGGGTAGGTGCCCTATAGGGGTTCTCTTTACCTGCTTTACGGTTAGCTGCTATGCTAGCAGTTAGGTTTTCGGTTCGCTGATTGCTCAATAAAAATCACAAGAAGTAGAAAAAGAACAAGTTTGCTTTCTTTGTCTGCATCATGGTGGAGCCTGGAAGTAAAAGTATGAGAGTAATGTCTTTGGAGGCGTAGCAAAGAGCTAAAACCAGAGTGAATGTTGGTGTGGCCTACGCTAGTTTGAGGGAGCTAAATGAGGCAACAAAATCATGGACTGATGGTGACCTGGCTTTGTTGCTACTGGACTTACTTACTTACTTAATACTTAATATTTTTTAGCCAACACTGTGGATTTTTACTTATTGGTTCATTTTAGTATTATCTGGCTCATGTTAGCGTTAGCTCCAGTGTTGGGAGTAATGGCATTTAAGTGTAAAAGCATTTAAGTATTACAGCGTTGCTAACTAAGCTGTGTTTTAGGTAACTGAGTAATCTAATTATTTACTTTTCCCATCATTGCAACACTGTTACAGGTAAAGTGCGTTACTCCATTTCTATAATGAAGCTGAATGGAGCACAGCAGGTGTCAGGCCGACAGCCACACCAGTGATGCGCACATGAAACTGGAGCCTGAGGGAATAACACCGGCTATACCAGTACCCGCCATCCCGCCCTGAGCTGGTGTTGTAAATGGCAACAATGAACATGCAGCATCGAGCACATCAGGGTGTATGCTTTCAGATCAAATTGTTATAAAGCAGGGAGGATGTTGGTGTGCTCAAAATGCCTGTGACAATTATTACATTAACAGGATGGATTTGTAAATATTAGTGAGGGCAAATCTGTAAAAGATGAGGAAAGAAAAATAAACAGCACTTCATAATGGTGGAGATGAGTGAAAGCAGTACAGGCAAGACTTAGGCAAGCCGTTTTAACGTTTAATCAACAATCGGACCTCTCTGTAATTTACAATTTTATATAAGAGTAATTGAATTTATCCTAGTACTAATTGTTTTCTTATTAGTCAAAATTGCAAATGAAAACATCAGCAGTTATGTTTTTACTATAGAAATTATAATAAAAGATTTCCAAGATAACAAATGCAATATTACGTTTGAGATATCTCAGAATCCCTAAAACCTTAAAGAGCAAGTCACCCCCTACCAGATTCTTACTCAACTCCCACTTCCTGTTTGAAAAATGCAACAAATGCTGTTGCCTAGCAGACCAAGAGGGCGGAGCCACTAAGAAATACACACACTCACGACATTGTGACATCATAATGTACCATCTAACATCATAGGGTACCTCTTAGCCAATAGCGATGGCAGATTTAAATGCAAATGCTGTGCAGAGTTTTTACCTGACAACGGCACAACACTGACAGTTTTAGGCAGAATATTTAAATTTTAACTAAGAAGAACTAAAATGCCGAATTATGGACTACATTTGCCAACAGCACGATCAGACACTCATTTATATAGTTTATCAGCAAAAAAATGTTGATTTGGAGTGACTTGCTCTTTAAGGTGCCTTTTTATCATTTATTAGGCTGGCTGGACATTTATTTCAGATAGGCCTATCTATAATTCTATTGTAGAAATTATCATTCCAGATATCCAAAGGAACATTCTTACTGAATGCACGTCAGAAACCTGACAAGTTAATTCTAGATAGTGAGAATCATTCAGTTAAAAAATCTGTCACACTATGGATAGAGAACATAACGGCATTGTAGAACATAAAAGTAATGTCACAGTTAGTTTGCTATGTAACTAATTACTTTTACAATGTGGTAACCGAGTTACTAACTCAAATACTTTTGGGAAAAAGTAATTTGTAACTATAACTAATTAGTTTGTAACATAAGATGCCCAACACTGGTTAGCTCGTTGTTAGCGATAGCTAGAGCAGCCTTGTTTAGGAAAGTTGTCATTCCACTTTCAGCCAGTAGGGGGAGGAGCAGGAAACTCCTCAGTGTTACTTTAAAGTTGTTTGTATAATTCTCAAATGAAAACGTTGACATGTTTTAAATTAATTCATTTAGGAACTCAATTAGCGTTTCCTGTAGATTCACCTCCCTTTGTGGTCTCTATCACCCTCTAATGTGTATGCAAGCCATAACATTATGACCACCATCAATACTTAGCAGCTCTCATTTTTCCCGTAAAAACTGTCAGGGCTTGAGTAAATTAATATTCTGATCTTTTAAAGTATCTTGCAAAAGTCTTAAGTTTTATGACTGATCCGTGTTCACCAGTAACCTTTGACCTGCTTGTCTGAGAGCCTTGAAGCTTCATTTCATTTCTGTAAAACCAGTTTGCACTTGGAACTGTTGCTGTAGTATTTATGAGGCTTTATATGATCCTGGAGACTTTTTTCAATAGATTTTCTGCTGTTTTTAGGTTCTCGGTTGTATGTCAGGGTCAAGGTCTGCAGTTTGATCATAAAAGTGGTTTAAAGTTGAGAGCAAAGACGGTAAAGTGGGCTTTTACTGGGAATTGTTTTCAGCAGCTGGTTTTCAAGGCCAAAGCGTGAGCTGGCAACATAAACGGTTAATGCTCAAAATCACTGAAGTTGGTTTAAACTGAAACATGTCAAGAGTAAACAAACCATTGTGAGTAAAATAGTTTGTCAGGACTTCAGATCACTCCTAATTTCCAAGCCGAGCCAATCAAGAGAGCTGTCAAAAACCTTTTCATTGACTCAGCAGGAAGTTGAGCAGCAGTGTCCACGATGGCGGCTCTTCAGCCTGGCAGACATGCAGGCGGGTAGAGCAGGGTGAGCGACTTGGCTCTGGAAGTGGAGTCGGCTTTCTAGTGCTGCAGTGGCTGGCACCAGAAGCGAGCTGGCCTCTCCTCTGGCAACGACGCAAGGCCCAAACAAAACACACACAGATTCTGCCACACTCCTGCTGCAGAGCAAACGGAGGCTGGCGGGTGGGGGCAGATCTTCAAAAGCTGCTGTTGTCTGGAGACGGCTTTCATGTGAATGGAAGCCTTAACAGGCGTTGTGTGATGGCTCTCGTTGACCACCGGGCGCCCAGTGATCCTCGTCTGTTGGGTTTTAATTAATAAACAATGTCTGATGGCCACAATGCACTTGGAGAGACAACACAGTGACTTCTTGGTGGCCTTGATGCTGCTTATTTTGGAATTGCACTCAACTCCCGCTGAGGTCAGCACATAAACGAGGAGCTGCATACGTTTTAAACCGAACACCAATAAAGCAGTACTGTGATATTTTTAATTTGTGAGTAATTAGACTATGTTGCATGCATTGAAAGTGCAGGTGAAACTGCTAATCAGGAATGCCAGTTCTGTGCAACAATAGCGCCATCTGGTGGAAAACAGGAAGATCAGCAACTATGAATCCACCAAACACCAACTAGTCACAGCTTTTCTTTTAGATAAAAAGCCGGTGGGTGTTAAAACAAATTCATCACCAAAACCTTCAGTAGTTATTTTATGTTACCTTCTAGCTAGGGCACCAGGCCTAAACTTCCTGTGTCAGAAAGCAGCTGTGTTGATCAGAGAGAATAAAAACAAAGTATTATTAGAACAAAACGTCTTACAGCAAATATCTTTTAATGGTCCCAAGTTTTCCGAACAACTAAGAGTACACTCATGTAAAAGGGGGGAAAAAAGAGAAAAGATATGACAAAATTCATCACATCTAGAATTCCACTCGATCTTTAATGATGATGGGATTACAAATTCTCCAAAAAATCTGTAGTTTCAAAGGGCAAAAAGGGTAAAACTAGCTCGCCTACTGAGGTTTTTAAAAACCTGTTCAAGTGTGACTGAAAACATCCTGAACATTTAAAGGCAGGTCTTTTTTTGTTGTTGTTGTAATTTTACAAAAAAACAGGTCAAAGATTGAGACAAATAAGAGAACAAAAGGAAAATAACGCAGAAACTGCTGGCTTTTTTTTCTCTTCAGAGAAATAACGACAACAATGATGACATCAAGTGACAACAAGGGCAGCGGTTTGCCTCGCTGCTGCCTCCCGTCTGGTCCTATTTACTAACATAAAAGGGAAGAAAAGAGACTAATAGAAGGAAAACAGGAGCAGAGGAGAAAAGAAGAAAGGAACAGTGAGGAAGCAAACTCTAGGGAGGGAATGGGTGCAATCGGTGGTTCTGGGTCTGAATTGGCTGACCCATCTGGGCCGCTGTGATGTCCTTCCCTGAGTGGGGGGGCAGGGGGAGGGGGCAGTGGGTCATGAGCCGAGCATGTGAGCTCTGTGGTATTTCCATCTGTGTACATTTGTATTCGTATGTGGTCTTTTTTTTCTCCTCCAGCTGAGAAATCAGTAAAAACCCGGCAGGCTCTCGTTTATTAAGAGATCTCCACCGAAACGGTCCTCTCGTCCGCTCCGCTTCTCAGAGGGGGGGTTGGGGCTCCGATCCTTGTCTCCTGATTGGCACTTTTATGAATTGGGCGAGTCCGAGGAGGCTTTTCATCAACAGTCCGCTCCTCGTTTGGCCACCCGTTGACGACGACGGGTGATTTTATTCATTCAATTTGTCAACAAGTTTGATCGTTCCTGTGAGTCTGTGTTCTGAGACTGAGCGGAGCACACGCTGCGGCGGGGATTCCTTTACGAGCTCAGCTTGGACTTCTTCGTAGGTGGCAAAGGCTCCTCTTTACTCTCCCCATCCTCCTCCTCTTCCTCCTCTTCGTCATCATCAGGATAGTCCACTAGTCCCACTAAACCTCCCTGAGGAAGAGGAGACAACACAAATCCATGAATGTTAAATAAAACTCCACATAAATGTACTTTTAGTGGAGTAAAAAATAAAAAAAATAAACCTCGGTTTCCTTCAACGCTGCCTCTAAACTGTTCATAAATCTGTGACGATGCATGCCCATTACATCCTCTTCATGTGGACTGATCTCTTTCTCCTATTTCACTGTCTAGCAAAGCCTAGAGCTGAACCCAGTGACACGTTCTCTGACGACTACACAACAAGGCTGGTGTGAAGCTGCAAAGACTTAAGACTTAAATCTAAGCTTTCATTTACAAAGTGTTTAAGGCAAACATGCAAAGCACCTTTGTGGTTACTGCTGTGGTGGGGGGTGAGCTCCGTGCCCCCGAGCCTGGAGACCCTGGTGACCCCGGAGAGCCTGGGTTCAGTGAGGCAGATGAGGGGGGGCTTGCCAGGCTCGTTTTAGTGGATCCAGAGAAGGAAAGCTTGAAGCTGGGATTCTGTCGACCCGACAAGCTCGACTTCCCCAAAACTTCTTTATCCTCTGTGTCTTTTACTGTGGGTACAGAGGAAAAAGAGGTTAATGAAGTTATTCCACCCATCAGGGGCAGCAGCAGTAGCTCAGGAGGTTGAGCGGGTTTGTCCAGTAATCAGAAGGTTGTAGGTTCGATCCTGGCGCCGACCAGAGAATTCTGCTGTTGTGTCCTTGGGTAAGACACTTAACCCGCCTCGCCTGCTGGTGGTGGTCGGAGGGACCGGTGGCGCCTGTGCTCGGCAGCCTCGCCTCTGTCAGTGCGCCCCAGGGCAGCTGTGGCTACATCGTAGCTCATCACCATCAGTGTGTGAATGTGTGTGTGAATGTGTGAATGACTGGTTGTGTTGTAAAGCGACTTGGGGGGGTCGTAGAACCCTAAGAAGGCACTATACAAATACAGGCCATTTACCATTTTTTATCATTTACCAACACTGATGTCCTCAACGGAGGGACTTTGTCTGCTTAACCCGAGGCTTTCCCTGATAAAAAAAAAAACAATACTTACATTTCTTTCTCTCCATGAATTTGCTGATCGGCTCCATGAGGTCTTCCTCACTCTTCATCTTGTCAGAAGGTAGAACAACTGCCTCGCCATCCTCAAGGTCATCTTCATCTGTGTTAAACCACATTTCCTCTTCATCCTCCAGCGTCCGTGCATCTCTACGGAAACGGTGGTTCCGTAGGATGGAGCGCATGCTGCAGAGGACAAAGCATCACCCAATGTTTAAATAAACAAATACATTAGAGATCAGCTGATATTGGGTTCTCTGTTGCCAATACCGTTGACGATGTGTACAGCCGATTTCATGGGGCAATATCTGGACGTTTTCCCTTATTTTCATGCTAAAAATTCACTAATCACATCAGCTGAATCAGCTTTTTCACTCTGAATTTAACTGTAAAATCTCAACTTTGTGCAGTGCTGAGTGTTAAAGTAAACCTACATAAAGTATTTATTATGCAGACGTTATTAGTGACCATATAAATACATTTAAATTAAATTCTGCAACAGCAACGGGCTGCCCCGAACATGTGCCTGACCTTAATTCGGCTTTACCAAGGACAAATATCGACCAGTGCTGATGTAAACAAATAGTAAATATTGGCCCGACATGTCGGTCTACCCCTAAAACGCACGCACATTTTAATGTAACAGTTTTATAATGGTCCTCTTTATACTCTAGATCCGTGATTCTTAACCTATTTTCCTTAAGGACCCCTTTGTGTCCAACAAGCCAGGACCCTAGCCCAACTCCTCCCCACAAACGCATTAAAAAATCATTAACTCATTCACTGCCAGCCGTTTCCTGATCACTAACGGCATTCGCTGCCAGCGTTTCTCACCGTTTTTACTGTTTTTTTTAAGAGTCACAGAACGTTAAGCGCTAGCATGATGTCGATGCCAAAACAACCAAAACAAAGAGGAGACTCATCAGGAAGAAGCCGCGTGTTTCGAGCGTTATCCGTTCTTTCATAATCCGTTGTCGAATTGTGATCGGCAGACGCTTTTCCGGTTCGCGTCTCACTTTTTTTTACAGGAACGGCCCAAAACGATCTCCTAACACATGGATGTGTTGCTTCCTGATCATGTGATCTGTGACGTATGCGGATGAAGATCGGCTTCAGGGCTGAGATGTTTGTTCTCTCAGCGCG